TATAAGGCAAGTTCCCCTACCTTACTCTTTTTTAGTAAATAATTTGGCTGTCATTATCTCTTTGCACTTTGATATACACTTTAGAATCAGCCTGCCAAGGGGCACCAAAGACCCTATAGAAATTTTGACTGCAGTAAATCTGTAGGGATCACCTTGGGAAGAACTCGTGTTTTCTGGATATTGAATCTCACACTCCTTGAAGATGTATAGCTACCTTTTCATGTAGATGGACCTTTATGTGTGTTTGTAAACTACCCTTAATTTTCTTTATAAAGATTTTACACGTTGTTAGATTCATTCGTAGATAATTTATATTTCAGCTACTACTGCAGATGCTGTCTTTTTAAAATAAACATCTTTATTGAGATATAATCCACAAACCGCAAAATTCACCTTTTCAAAGTGTACAATTCAGTGGTTGCAGTATATTCACAGATTTGGGCAAGCATCACCAAAATCTTAAGTTTAGAACATTTTTATCACCCTCAAAAGAAACACCTTTCCCGTTAGCAGTTAATTCCCACTACCCCCTCCCTGCATATCCTGGCAGGAAGGAATGAGTGAGTGAGTGAACGGATGAATTTATACCTGTGTAGCAGGCCTCATGTCAGATATTGCCCGGCCCCAGTCTTTGCTTTCTGTTTTATTTGGGTTTTATTTTCCCCTCCCATCTCTATTACTGGTCTGGTTTCTAAGCTAATCTCCAGCCTCTTTCGTTCTCCTCCACTCCCTGGCCAGATAACTTTTCCCAAAGAAAGCAATGTTCCAACCACTTTGCTAGGAAGCCCCCTGTAGCTCCTTTGGGAAACTAGCTGCACTCCCAACACGGTTTCTCTGGGGAAATTCAGGCTGATAACTCAAGCACCTTGGAAGCAAACTCTGGGGATGCAGCTCTTTTGTGAGTCGGAGAGGACCTCTTCTGGGCTCTTGGTTTGCTGCAGAGACCTCAGAAAGTAAACACAGTCGACCTCATTATTCTCTTCCACTTCCTCCTAAGTCAGAGCTATTTCGGGTTAACTCAGGGAAGAGGCTAAATTCAGCCTTGAAACTAAGCAGCCTCCATGACCGGCACTTTGTTATGCTTGAGTGACTGCAATGATGGGTCTTTGGTTTTAAGGGCAGCACTCATTGTGTCTCTTGAGACCGACCTTGGTGATCTTTTCCCTGCCCTGCAAAAATGGCGGGGGGGGGGCGGGGAATGCCAGATCCCTCTTCAGTACCCCCTCATTCATTCAGGATGCTTTACCCAAATGCCTGGTCCCTGCCAAGCCCTGTGCTTAGAGGTGGAGATCCAAAAGCTTGCTCTCTCAGGGCCTGCAGTCTAGCTAAGGAAACTACAAGAAACAAGAGACCCATGAGACAGATAACTGGCGCTTGGGTAGATGTCTGTCCAGGGCAGAGAAAGGAGTGGATGTACCTATGCCTTCCTGTGACTCCATGCAAAGGCTAGGCCATGGAATCACCAAAATAAAAGAAGGGACCAATCTAGCACTCACAAACAAGCAGGCAGATACGAGCACTTTCACATGCGTACCCTGTATCCCAGCAGTTCTTCTCTTGGATGTATGCAGCCAATAGGAAATTGCACACACATAAATTTTACATCGAAAGAAAGCCTTGCAAACACATATTGAACTCTAGTTAATACATGCATGCTGCAGTATCTAAGGGGAAGTGTAATTATATTTGAAGTCTACCTTGAAATATACCCCCCAAAAGATGGACGGATAGCTGCATGGATAGGTATCTGATTAAGCAAGTATGGTAACATGCTAATGGTGAAATTTAGTTGCTGAGTGTGTGGGTGCTCACTATAAATTCTTTTTAGACTTCGCTGTATGTTGAAATTTTTCATTGAAAACATTGGGGAAAATGCATACATGTGTTTGCCAACAGAAATGTACAAGAATATTCATAGCAGTATAATGGCTTCAAACTGAAAGCAACGCAAATGCCCATCAGCAGTAAAATAAGTGCAGAAATATGTGAGTCTGTTTATATAATGGGTTACTGTTCACACTGAGAATGAGCCACAGCTACACACAACATGGGTGAATCTCACCAGCATAACCTTGGGGGGAAAAAGAGTCAAAAGAGGATGTGCTGCGTGGTTCTATTTCTATAAAATTCATAAACAGGTAAAACCAGCCTAGGATGTTAGAAGTCAGGATGATGGCTTTGAGAAGAAGGAAGAAAGAGATTGTGTGTGGAATAGGGGGCCATAGGGCCTCCTGGGGTACTGGAAGTTTCTGTTTCTTGATATTGGTGACAGCTAACAGACATGAACACTTATCAGGCTGTACACTTAAAGTCTGTGCACTTTTCTTTACTTGTATTATACATCATTAAAAACTGTACTAGGGAGAAAAAGAAAGAAAGCCAAACAGTTCCAGTTAGAAGGTTTGCCTAGCCAAAGCTTTTTTTTTTTTTTAAAAAGCAATTTTAATTAGAAATTACATCCTACATACAGGAGTTATTCCAAGAAGTTTCATTTCATTGTCTAGGACAGAGTGGACAGCTCTGAAAAGATGAAGTCTGGCTGCAATCACTTCAAGGGGGTAGGAACCCCCTCTGAGCCTACCAAGTAAACCAAAGTTGTGAAGGAAGTGAAACTTCCCGTTAAGACATTCATTTGTTCATACATTCCTGTTGCATTAATTCCCCTAGTCTTCACTGACTGTCTGTCTCTCTCCTCCACACAGACATCTATCCACATATGCTGTGTTCCAAATCCAAACTTGATCCACAAGGCATGACCTGGCCCTTTCAGGGGTTCCTGTACCCAGAGGAAGAGACATGCAGACATTTCACCTTGCAGCCACACTCCTCACCTTCCCGGACTCCTTTTTTGTGATTTTCTCACATATTTGTCCTGAGATACCCTCTGACTCCTGAATTGATTAGTCAGGGTTCTCCAGAGAAACAGAACCAATAAGAGATAGATAGATACATAGATACACAGATAGCAGAAAGATGATAGATAGATATATAGATAGATAATAGGGAGGTAGGTAGATAGATAACAGAAGGATGATAGATGGATATATAGATAGTTGATATATAGGTAGATAATAGATGATTGATAGATAGATAGATAGGGGTTTATTATAAGAAATTGGCTTATGTCATTATGGAGGCCAGCAAGTCTCAGGATCTGCAGGGTGAGTCAGCAACCAGCAGACTCAGGAGAGCTGATGGTTTCATTTCAGTCTGAAGGCCTGCAGGCTCAAGACCTGGGAAGAACCTAGGTTTCAGTTTGGATTCGAAAGCAGGAAAAACCTGATGTCCCACCTCAAAGGCAGTCAGGCAGGAGGAGTTTCCTCTTACTCAGCCCTCTTCTGCTATTCAGGCCTTCAACTGATGAGATGAGGCCCACCCACACTGTGGAGGGCAATCTGCTTTACTCAGTCTACCAATTCAAATGTTCATCTCATCCAGAAACACCCTCACAGACACACCCAGAATCATGTTTGGCAAATGTCTTGGCACCCCAGTCAGGTTGACATATAAAATTAACTGTCACAACTCTAGAGCATGAATAGCCTTCCAGCTCTAAAGACACAGCCCTCTATTGGAAGAGATGCAGCCAGGGGCCCTGGCCTGGTCCGTGTCACATCCCATCAAACAGACAAGCTGTCGATACCTCACATACATTGTTCATTTCTTACATATTGTTTGGATTAGTAATCAGTGGAAAAGAAGGCTTCAGCTGCCCACTAGGCCCCCTGGATGGCCACATTTATTATTTTAAAGAATAAAAAGAAAAGATTTTAGTTATTGCAAAATATATCATACATTCCGGAGAATCCCTGAAACAGTTGAAAGGATAAGGATAAAAATGAACCCCCGTGTACCCCCCCATCCAGCCTAAAAAATGGAAAATGACCCGTATACTGAAGGCCTTTGGCTCCTCCCAATGGCTTTCCACTCTGTCCTCACCTATACGAAGCCACTCTACTGAATTTTGTGTTAATCTTTCTCTTGCTTTTTAAAAAACATCAAAGTATATGTCTCTAAATATATAGGTTTGGTTTGGCCTGTTTTGAGCCTTTATGAATTGACATATGCTGTGTGTATTCTGTGCAATATGCTTTTTCACACTACCTGAAGTGTTGGGGCCTCATCCACGCCGTCACGTGTAGCCTCAGTGAATATAATATTCTTTTTGGTGGACATGTCCATTGTATGGGCCATATGTTGGTCTCTTCAACTCTTGGTGCCTGTTTGGGTAACTTCCAGTCCTCTTCTGTCACGGATGAAGCTCACAGAAGTGTTCCTGTCCCCGTCTCCAGGTGCACAGGTGCAGGGATTTCTCTAGGGTGGACATGTAGGAGATCAGGTGCTCAGCCCAGTTGTAGAATATATGTCTCTTCGCTTCTCTAGGTAATGCCAAGGAACTTTCCAGAATGATTATACCAATTTATGCTCCTGCTGGAGGTGATGCAGGTTCCTTATGATGTTCTCCCCACCTCCTTTCCATCCAGTCTGGTCTCAGTTAACCACCTTCCCTAGGTGCAGTCGCCCCTGCTCACGGGGCAGCCGGCACTTAGAACACAGTGTGGCTGTGATGCCCTCCTACACACTTCGTGCATATGCCAGACAGCACTCCTCTAGGGTGGGATCCACTATGTGAACGTGTGTCAAATTGCCGTCGCTGTGGGAGAGCCCACATGTTTCAGTGGGACTACTGTGCAGCTGTCTGCTTCAAGGAAAAGGGCTAAATCAAAACCTCAGTGGAGTGGGTGGCGCCCGGGCTGGACTCCAGGGCTGATCTCTTTATGCCAGTGTCAGGACATTCATCCTCAAAATTGATCAGTCGTGCTCTGCCATTTCTCCACGGCCAAGAGCAATGGGTCGCAAGATCGGTTCCATGGAAGAGTTTTCACCCCCACCTGAGATCTAGTCCCCAGACAGGAAATCAGTGCCCTGCCCAATCTGCCTGGCTATGGAGAGGATGCTTATAAACCGTCATCTTTTGTGCTGCCTCTTTCCAATTACAGGTTAGCCTGGGGAGGAAGATAAAGACATTTGCAACCAAGATGGTAATCACGAGCGGAAATGATGAAGACAGAGGAGGCCAAGAAAAAGAGAGCAAAGAAGAGAGTGTCTTGGCGATGCTGGGAATTATCGGGACCATTCTGAACCTAGTCGTCATCATATTTGTATACATATACACCACTCTGTGAATGGCCCAGAGGGCGCTCAGGCCTTGGGATGGCCAAAAGACGGGAGTCCTGTGTGTCGGCAGATCAGTGACAGGACACTGTGCAAACAAGCAGCTTTGACCTACACACACCGTTCAATCAAATGTACCTTCGAACTTGATAAAGGGTCACCAAAATAAACCGATCCTGCTGCGAGGATCAGACACTAAAGCACAATGAATCCAGCAAAACTCATTCACACAGCAAGGAACTCAACGTCGTTGGCAGGGGACCCGAAAGAACGCTTGGAGGACTCGCCTTTGACGTCGTCTGGGAGCGGATGGGTGCAGAGGTTCATTATCCCAGGTCGCTGACGGATGTCACATGTTCAAAAAGAGGAACAGGGAGGACGCAGCTCACAGTGGACGCAGCTCATGGTGTGTCTCCCAGGACACGCAATTCCTCCTAACTCGATGAGCTGTTTGGTACAAAAAACCACAGGGACAATCCTTTGGCAAGCATCCCATTCATGAAAAGTGTCTATTTGATACCGGGGAGATAACTTATTTTTCTTTTTTCATTGGCTTGACGTGTGTATCTGTTCATATCAAGGTTTATAAATATATATTTTTAATAAATGTGCTCTATTTTTTAGCATGAACCAAATATTTGGAGAGGCGCTCCTGGATCCATAGAGCTTTCTTTGGTTTTACCTGCTTAAACCCCTAGACTGCAGACGTTCTGTTGTGTAACCACTTTAGCCCTAATTCTGTCGTCTTGTATTGTTTACCTTCTCTCTCCCTCTAGCTCTTCTCAGTCTGGAGGACGTTTTTCCATAATACCAGCCGTGATCTTGGTTGATGCATGTTTTAAGATTGTCTGTTGAGCGGCTTTTTATTGTTATATCGGAGATATAAAACGATCGTGGGCATGTGGACCTTGGATGCACCATATCCTTACTGAGAATTATGCATGAACAAGGGCTGAGTGATAGATCAGCTTAAAAAAATTTTTTACAAGGACTACCATGGAGGAAGAGCGTGGCTACATCTGCAGATTGACTATAGGATGGAGTATTCAGCTTCTTATTGGCAGCATTATTATTTCATTCTTGTGACCATTTGTTGAGCACATTTGATTTTAATGGCCACATACTATGAAAGATGGGAAGGACATGGGGGAAAGCTGAGCTTTAGGTGCATAATTCCTTCCTTAATGAGCCGCCTGGGATCCTTTTCAAAGTAGGTGGGGTGTAAATGGCACATGGACTCCCCACTGTAGGAGCTCACCTGGGTGTTTCAGGCTGTGAGGACACCCCTGAGACAGGTGACTTTTTCAAGGGCACTAGAAGGGGATGCAATGATCACCCTAGAAGATTGCTGCATTTCTTAAAGTTCCTGGTTTACACCCACATGAAGCTACTTCCTCCCTGGCAGGAACAGTTGAATAAATGTGAATTTGCCCTGTTCTACTCCGTGAAATGGGCCTTTCACTGGCTGCAGCGGCACGGCCTTAAAAAAGGAGGGTTAGAATTCCTTCTGCTAGTGTCAGCCTTGCCCGTGGGCAAAAGAAGCAGCAGTCTGCCTAGTTGGATTCGAATGATGCCCAGGAGATCTCCACCACCAGATCTCTCCATCCCTCTGTTGTGGTGTCTGAAATTCTACTGTTAGAGAGTCATTTCTTGGACTCTGCTAGGGACCAGGCCTTTTTATAAAGCAAATGCCCTGAGCACCTGGCTCTCATCAGGTGTCTTCTCTTCCCCACCAGAAGAAACAAAGTTGATGCGCATTCAGGGAGTACATGTGCCAGGCGCTGTGCCAGACTCTATATTCCTTTAAGTCACTGAATCTTCCCAGTAAGGGAGCTAGAGAGTCTTTATCCCACATTGTAGAGGAAGAAAGGAGAGCTCAGAGAGATTGGGAAACTTCCCTGAGATCAGGTGGCTTCTAGTGGTGAATCAGGATGCAAACCCCCGGTCTGTCTGATTCCCTAGCCCAGTGAGGGTCGGTCAAATGCTGGGAAAAGAGGGAATGGAGAGGTGGGGATGGTCCAGGAAAGGGCCCTCAGGGGTCAGATGCAGACCGATGACTTTGCTGAGGGCAGCTCTGCACCCCTCCATCCCTCCCTCATAAAAATAAACTGGGAACTCCTTGCACCCTGGCAGAATGTCCCACGTGTAAGGACGAGGGCCAAGAGGCTGGTTAGAAATATAATGGACTATCAGGGGAGGGGGCCGTCTCACAGGTTCTGTGTGGTTCTAGAAAGACTGTGTAAGAATTCTTAACAGTGAACAGAGTAAACAATAAAAGTGCAATGGAAAAAAAAAAAACAAAAAAACAAAAACTACCGACGTCCTTTTTCCCCCTGCAGCGTCCTGGTATTTTTAAAACTCCGTGTCATTCCTTTACCTATACATATTTTTGTTTTATTAAAAAAAAAAAGCACACAAAACAACATGACTGTTCAACTGAAACTGTTCCGTTTGGACTGTAGAAGCCCTAGTGAGTTTCCAAGGGCACTAATTTGGAATTTATTGAGGGGAAGAACTGCCTTTCCAATCATCTCAACAGCTCCCCGGTGGTTCTTCTAGATTGTCCTAATCCACAGCCTAGAAATAAAGCTGCCCGTTCAGTGGCTGCCAACCAAAGTGGCAGCACTGTTCTCTTGCAGAGAGAGGCCTTCATTTCTGTTCTGATTTAGGAAAGCCCGAGAACACGCACTGGGCGAACTCGCAGCTTCCCCCAGGATCCCAAGGCATCTTGAGGGGATGTGACAGGAAAGCAGCCCGTGGCCCTGGATCTTGAGTGTCTAAGCACGCCGAGCCCAGCCTTGGCACCAATAGCAACGACCTAAATGACACGAGGGCTGTATACTTCCCAGCCAGCATACGGGACCCTCACATCAACACCGTGGGGTATGCACGCCTACCCCCAGATGACAAGATAAAGAGAAAGGGGCTCAAAACAGCTAATTGAATTTTCCAAGGTCGCACACCTGGAAACCAGTAGAATTAGACCTGGCTCCGCATCTGTGTGTCGTCTGTACCTTGTGTGGTCCAGACTGTGGGTCTGAGCCCTGCTGGAGCCGTCTGGCTAGTCCCAGCACACAGCGTCCCACCACGCCTGCCTCTCCTTCGTCACAAGGCAGCTGGCCTGGTCGGTGTGGCTGAATTGTTGCCTTTAACTTCTACCCCAGAAAGCGACTCAAAGCCCAGGCTCTGGCAGGGGAGAGCCAGGCACGCATGGCAGTGTGCCCTGGTGGTTTGGGGCTGCAAGGTGCTTGCCGATGGCCAGAAACAGCCTGGGCTTGAATCCCATCTCTGCCTCATGTGATCTAGGTGATGGCAGGCGATTCACACCAGCTCTGTGAGCCTCGGTTTTCCTCATCTATCAATGAGGGGTGCTAATAGCCCCCAATCCCATCAGGTAGGTATTTTAACCCCATTTCACTGATGGAAAAAGCGTGGCCTGGAAAGGTGAGTTGACGTAGCAAAGGCCTGGGGACCATGACGTCAGCGGCTCCAGAAGTTGCTGCCTTCACCTTGACAGCCAAAGAATGACACTTAAACCCCGAAATAAAGATCTCCAGGGGGCCTGAGTTTCAGGGGGCTGGGGACAGGATGCCTCAAAGACTTTGAAGTTCAGTGTGAGGGACCCGGACTGTGGGAAGGCAGAAGAGGGGCTTGAGGCCCCTGTGATTCTATAGGTTGGGGTGAGGACAGGACAGAGAGACCCTTTTTCTATGTTTTTTTTCTTTTTTTCTTTTCTTTTTAGTAACCAATAACCAACTGAGGCCCAGAAAAGATCAAGTCCAAAAGTCACATAGCTCTGTAGTCCAGGGGTCTCAAAGGTAGCCTCGGAAAGGAAAATGCACAGAGATTTATTTTCATGAAAAGGGCTGCTGGTTATTGGGTGTTGGACCACAAGACCTTTCCCATTGCTTGTTCTGGGATTTCTATGCAAAGCAAATGGCCTCTCAGAGGATCCGGGGCTCTGCCCCTGCCTCGTCCTCAGAAATGTGACAACCTAACCCCAAAGAGCACAGCTTTGAGGTGCCCTCTCCTGCAAGGGGGCTGGAGAGAGGCCTTTTATGCCAACAACAAAAGGGGACTGATGGACAAGCAACTCAGAACTACTCTTCCTTTCTTACTTTTTTCATAAATCACACAGGCATAGTTACAGTTGAAAAAATTGCAGTGAAAAAATTCCACAGAATTAAAATAATTAAGTTCTGTAGAATTAAGAATCCTCAAATACCACCACCTAGAGGCAACCGCTGCTAGTGTTTAGCATAGAAATTATAAACGAGGTGGCCTGCATATCTGTTTGGTGAGACCATTTTCCTTGGAGTTTTAAAATTCGATTGCCTTTAGGTAGGGCCACTCTTTAGGTCACTGTCCCCACGTTCCCTGTGACAGTGGACAGCTTCCCTCATTTCTGTTACTTGCTAGATCCAAAAACATTCTAGATGGCCATTCAGACATTTCCCTATAAACAGTAGGGGAAATAAATATTTAAAAAAATATTAAATATTAAAATTCACACAAATGATGCCATGCTGCAAACGTTGCCCCCATATATTTTTTCATTAACAATTGTGAATATGCGCCTATATTCATCAATCTATTTAGACAAACCACTTGTAAGGGCCGTTTGGTATTCTGTTGTTTAGATGTACCATCACGTATTTCCCCATTCTCTCACTGTTGGTGGTTTTTAGGTGGTTGTCAGTGTTTTCTACGAACTACTCAGCCTTGCTCTTTAAAATACCCCAAGCATTATATGTGGAATCTAAAAAAATGGTACAAATGCACTTATTTACAAAACAAGTAGAGTCACAGATGTAGAAAACAAACTTATGCTTACCATGGGGGGAGGGATAAATTGGGAGATTGGGATTGACATATATGTGCTACAGTATATAAAACAGATTACTAATAAGGACCTACCGTATAGCACAGGGAACTCTACTCAGTACTCTGTAATGACCTATATGGGAAAATAGTCTAAAAAAGAGTGGCTATATGCATATGTATAACTGATTCACTCTGCTGTAGAGCAGAAAGTAACATACCATTGTAAATCAACTATACTTCAAAAAAAAAAAAATCCCAAGCATTGCCCTTACCTTCCCCAGCACCCCTTAGAGTGGTCTGAGGTGGTATCCCCATAAGTCATTGTTTCCCAAACTAAAATGAAGGTGGGGATCACCTGGATACTTTTTAAAGAATGCATATTCTCAGGCCTCTCCCCCAGATCTCTGGTTAATAGCTCTGGAGTGGAGCCTGGCCTGGGGTCTTTTTAATGAGTCTCCCAGATGATCAGGCATGTTTGGAGATGTTGATCCAGGTGAACCCAGGATGACCACCTGGGCTCGGACCTGATTCTGAGCCCCTGGGATTCTGGTGGCTGTGCTGGTCTTGTACAGGTCACTTCGTCTTTATTCACCTGTGTTTCTTTATCTATAAAAAGCTGATCGTAACATCTGCCTCACAGGTCATTATGAAAGTCAACTGAGGGAAGGCCGATACAGCTCCCAGCAGAAAGCCGTGCACATGGCTGGGTGGCAAAATCACGGGCGGATAGGCTGGCACATCTGCT